AACGACCCTGTCAGTTGAAATCAGATGATTGACGGAACGAGGAATTGTCAGGCGCCTGGGTCGTGCCACTCTTGTTCCTCTGCCACGTTCCATTCCATTTTATCTTTCCGGTTGCCACAGGTGCTGTACAATTTCATCACGCTGGTTCAAGCATGCCTGCACAGAATATCCTGCCATCGATGACAAAGGATAACGGGATAATTTGCTGCCAGCAGTTTGGTAATAAATTGCTATTGCATGAGACCTGCAAGCAATCGAAAGAATAACTTTTTGTAGTGCCTCGTCGGACCAAACAATCGTGGCAAACTCGGGGCATAAACACAACCAAATGGAGGGGCAGTGGTAAAGGGATGGACAAGCTGCAAGGCTAAAGCATCTCAGCCGCACAAGGGAACATCATGCTCAACTGCGAGACATCGGGGCTAGTTTCTCGCAGGAGGGTGAGGGGGAACCCCTGTTCATGGTACCGGGCGAATGTAGGGTTTGACAGGCGGCTCAGGGAGGAGCACTGATCTTCGACTACGCCGTCGATGCAGTTTTCGCCGTTCAGCACCCAGAGTGAGAGAGACCTGAAAGAGCTGAGTTGTGTACGAGTCGTATCGTGAAGCATTTGCTGCAGTCACATGTGGAAGATTTCACAGCACATGTGTACGGATCACAAGCCGGCGCTTCGTCGAGCCGACGAGCCGGAAGCTCTTGCGATGGGTGCTGGACGGCTTGGGCGACAGGGTTTGTAGTAGGTAATGGCAGGCAAAGCGATCGTTGTGGGTGATGGGCCCACGGTGAAACAGAAGGTGAGGTCCAGAAGCTGCTGGTCCCGGGCGGGCCGGTACAATGCATCATTGACGACCTAATTTCGCGAAACAAACGGTTTGGATCGGGAAGTAGAGATTTTGTTGTTGGTAAAAGCAAGAACCGGAGCCGAAACCTTCAGTCTCATGCATCGCACGGTCTGAGTCTTGTGAGTTTTTCAGGAAATTTGATTAGCAGCACCTTGCTGGGAGATACCTCGGCACATGCCATCTCTCTCAGCACTCTCAGTGTTGCAGCCATACTCCGAAATCCCGAGCATAGCATGAACACAGTGAGGTGACGACCTGGCAGATTCAGTTAACCTGGCTGCATCCCCTTTTGATCGAGGGGTGATGTCAGGCATCGCTCCACACGCCAAGGGGACACTATTCGAGTATTTGGCACAAGGCCATCAGCTGAAAGTGCCTTTGCCCTTAGTCTCGCAGCACCGGCAGTGCTGCGAGTGTGTGCGTGTTTGTTCGACCACCCCTCAATTCCAACCCCAACCGCCCGGCTTGGGGGGGCGGGCGCATGGAGGTTCTAGGTCTGTTTGATCGTCGCCTTCGTATTTCGCCTTTAGCGCTCCAAAAAGAGGACCTTGCAGTTTGTGGAGGTTCTCGAGATTATCATGCGGTTGGCTGGGTTCTGAGTGGATCGGGGGTGTCGTCACGCAAATCACAAAAGCATCAACCCGCGAAGGTGAAGCGAACCGACATGCAGGGTTAGCTTTCCCTAGACAAACACTCAGGGACATTGGCTGATGCTTGGGATCGGCTGCCCAGATGCTAAGTAAGGGGTTTGTAGCAAAGAGGGTCAACTATGGCCTGCCAGGTTCGTCAAGATATGGGATTGGGGCATCTATGGTTGTTCGATGCCGGAATCGAGGGATTAATGATTCATGTTTTGTCTCACGACGGTGGGTGGTAAATAATCGAACAAAGACAAGTCACGAAAGCGAGCTTCCGGGGTTGGCGGAGTTTCTTATCAACCGAAGGTTGCAACAAGGGGTGTGGGTAAAGGGCCCCCCAAAATTCTAAATGGTTCTAAACTGCACCTGGAGCTGCATTTTCCCGACTAGGCGGACCCCCTCCTTTTCGGGCATGAAAAAGGAGTGTTTCGGCTTGCCCTGGAACGGAGAAACGAGCCGCCGATGATGCTCATGATGCTGGTCTCCCGGGCCCGGCCGGGTACCAATGATGCTCATGATGCTCGCCGCTTCGGCCCGGCGGGGCCGAAATGATGCCCATAGTTCTTTTTGAGTGGCTTGCTTGGCTCGTATGATGTTCGGTGCTGTGCTGTGACTGTTCCAATCTCCTGCATTGCAACAAGCATGATTGTCTTTCGGTGCCTTTTCTGGCTCCTACGCTCAAGCTTTTCCTCCCACGGCATGTCTTGCCTTGAAAAGTAGCCCTTGAGCCATGCTCTTTGCCGGATGCAGACGTCGCATCCGAGTCGAAACTCGTAGAAAACCCGCGGAGGCCATTCCATGTGATACCCGATGTCGAGCCTCCTGAAGTAGCCTCGTTCAGGACTCTGCCGGCAGTGCTTCGAGGATGGCCGTTCCATCATCGGCTCCCTCCAGCGATGAAGGCATCTGAGCTCGCCAAGGGGTTTTGGGGTCTGGGGTTCCGAGGAAACACTCTAATTTGCAGGTGCCGCAAAGACTCCCAAAAGCCAAGGCGTTCCAAGCTCCAGGTGCCGCCCACATCCTGCGTAGAACTTTAATTCCCGCTCGAGGTTCCTGACGCCCGCTGGACGACGACGGGTACGAGGCGTCTGGCGGACGGCGTTGGGATTCCCGGGTATAAGCTTAGGCACTCCTAGGTTGCAGTTCCAGCCCGCAGGTCCTGACTCTGCAGAAGCCAAACTGCAAATCTTCGCAACCTGCATCCCTAATCCCTTTCAGCATCCTTCCCCGTCCTTAAACCAGGCTCCTGGCCGCCGCCCAAATCCCACGTAGAGCTCCAAGCTTTGCGTCGCCCGAGGACTGTTGGGAAGTGGCCCCTGGATGACCGGCAGAAGGTCTGTGACCTGAGCGTGTTGGGGTCCCGGTCTCGGAGTCAATGCTCCAAGCCCCGTGCTTGGCTTGCCAAGCTTGCCATCGTTTGCCCGGACTGCTTGCTGTTGCTAGCCGAATCATGCGTTTCTTTGAAAGATCCATAGGGTCTGCTGCCAACTGATCCAGACATTGCCAGGAAATCTCCAACACTGGCTGTCAGTAGGTTGTTTTCCTGCCGCTGCAGGTTCGTGGCGGCCGCTGACATGACTGCTGCCGATCTCCCGCTGCTGCAACCTGCAAGCTTGTCGTGCACCCTGCATGAGCCTTGGTTCATGTGGCGTTGTGAAGTCCTTCGTGTGGTGTCTTCGTGCTTCCGTCTTGGACACGTGTGCCGCTCGGATGCAAAATCAAACCGTGGAGTCCTCCTAATTTTTCCGCTAAGGCATGCAACATTTCTGCCTAGCCTGAGAGATGTTGTGCATTTCAGTAAACCGCGTTTCCTCACCGGCTGGTGTTGCTGGCCGGTGCTTCTAAAGGTCGGTAGCTGCAGCGGTCGCTCACCCCGGGACCAAACAGCGCCAGGCAACACTGCGACCTCCTGCTGCCGGTCGTCTTGCGGTGGCTCCTGGTCGTGTCTTCTCGTGCGCATGCTCAGGCGCGTCTGTTCCCCAACAACTGGAGCAACAGAACTCAGTTCGGAAATCTTGCTCTTCCAAACCCTTCGGTAGACATGTTTTCCTGCGGCTCCTGTTGCACCTCGCCTGCACGCTTTGTGTCCTGCTCCTGCCTCGGGGAACCACTAGGTGGCAGGTGCGCTTGGTACGCGCGGCGCCGGCGCGGCAAAAAAAGTCCGCTTGGCCGCCGCGGCTTCTCCACTGCTGCTCTGCCCTAGGTTTCGTCCCAGTTCCTCCATCCTCCACAGTTAGGAGAATGTCTGCAGTCGAAGCGCGGGAGTTGGGACTCTGTGGCTGAGGTTGACACGGTTCTTTGCTTTCGCACGGGCTTCTACGCAGAGTCTGCCGAGGCTCTGGCATGGAGCATAGGTGTCCAGTGTTGGGAAATCTGCGAGCCGAGGACACCCTGATCACCGATGCCTGGGAGATTGCCAAGCGGCACACATCCCCAATATGTTTCGGGGTCTTTGGCTCGAAGCCTTGCTGCAATGCCTCTTTGGAAACCTGTATGTAAGCATCGAGGTATGGATGTATACATGTACGTGTTCATGCCCGTCCGTCCATCAGTCCGTGTCTTTCTGTCTGTGTGTCTGTTTGAAGCGAGGGGTAAATAAGTATGCCTATTTGTATGTTTAGCCCCCAGCAGCACAAACAAACAAAAGACAACCAGTACTTGAGCAAATGCAGATATGTGTTCATATGTGAGCTATAGAGTCCTGCACATGCACAGGGACATGCATTCCGATCGTACGTTGTCGTGTTCGAACATGTGTTCATAGTCGCAGGCATGTATGCACACTGTACGCAGTATGCACAATTTCGCCAATGCATCCATCCTCACATATCTTCGTTTGCATAGACGTACACACACCAAGCCATACCAAAACACCCAGAGCTATTTGCGGTGCATGCTCGGTTAGTTGGGCCAGGCATCTTTCGAAATGAAGGCTGCCGGTGCTGTGCCAGCTGATAGGTACTGCATGTCCTACTTCCTCTTCGATCTTCTTTCGTGGCTTCCTATAGATTTGCTGGTACAGGCAAGCTTGCAAACTGCCGACATGGACTTTGGAGTGGCGTACGATGCAGGTCATCACCGGGCACAGCGGTGCAGAGATGAAGTCGGAAACTCAGAGGGAGCACGGTAGGTGCATGGTTTGCTACCAGCAGCAGGTGCGAGAAAGCGCGGTAAGTCCATATCGTTATGAGCAGTACGTGAGATGTTCGATGCGCTGGTCCAGTGTCTGGAAACAGCAGTTTCGTTGCAGCTCTTCCTTGGAGTGTTTCCCATTGGCTACGGGAGGATCTCATGTTTCGGAAGGTGTTCAACAAGAGTTCATGAACCGTTGCTGCTGAGACTGTGGCATGCGGCACTATGCGGCATGAGGCAGCTGTTGAGTTTCCAGGTCGGTGAAGCTGATGAAATTCGTCAGACTGGTGAAGCCCCTACCTGTTTAGGGAATTTGTGATTGGTAACCTTGCTAAATAAGTGTGACAATGAGCCGCCTTGCTCCTCCGAGATCCGGCTTGCGAAGCTCATGAGGCTTTTCAAGCTCGGCAGGCTTGTCTCTGAATGACTCGGTTGGTTTTTCTGAGTCTCGGCATCTCTGTGCCAAAAGGTTTCTGGCCATCCTCGAGGAGCAGCTGCACCTTAAACCCGCGATGATTCGCATGGCCGGGCACCCGGCCAACTCGGAGAACCTAAAGCCTAGTGGGCTTGTCACTAGCCGACTGACTGCAGAGGTGAGGCTCATCTTGAACATCGTCTTCCTGGCGCATCTCCTGGCCTGCATGTGGTGAAAGCCTTACCTGCAGTCGGAGAAGTGAGTGCTGAGCGCCGAGACTGACACAGGCACTTCATCGCACTTCCTGCCTGCGGGGAGTCGGAGGAGATTGCAAGCCCAATGTATACTGCCCTCTAGACACTTCGGTATTTGCTCTAGCTGTCGAACTGCCAAGAAGGAACATGTCCGGCATGTTGAGAACATAAATAGCGGAGCGTGCCGTGATGCCTCCCCGAAATTGCGTCGTTTACTAACAGAGGTTGAAGGATGCCTTGCTGTCCGAATACTTTATGTCCAGAGACGATCGGGATGTTAATTCGTGAAGTTGACAGAGTCGAGGCCAAGGCTTTTTGGGCTTAGGGTTCTGCCAGGATGAGGCGCGGGGTGGCGGACGACGGGGTCAGAGCAACATCTTCCGGCTTCCTTGCTCTTGCTATCTCTTGCTGCTGCTGCAACTGCTACGCCACTTGCCACCGCTGAGATTCGGTCTGGGAATTGGGGAGGAAAGAACGTACGTGGCTTGCTGCAGATTGGGGCACATTCTGACACAAGTGCAACAGGAAGCTCGTGTCTTGGCACTTGGCTGAGAGTTACTGTGAAGCACCATGGTGCAGCAACCGTATAGGCTTGTAGGAGCATATCTGCCTGAATAACACCATATCGCCCTTCACAAAACGAATGACGATTGCTGAATCACAAAGCATTGTTCGTAATAAGTCGTGTTGAAGTCACTCGGTCCAATCCAGAACCAAGTAAGGCGGCCAGCCAAACCAGAGACGAACATGTACGGAAGAGGCTTGCAATCAGGTGCCGCCCCCGTGGTAGAAAAAGGCACAGCCAGCAGCAGCATCAGCGGCAGCGGCAGCAGCAGCAGCAGCAGCAGCAGCAGCGGCTGCCAGGTATTGCCCATCGCATATGATCGAATGGTGGTGAACTTGGTAATGAATTACGTAGTTCGAGACAGGGAAGATGAGTGTCCACGCCGCAGGGATGCTGACAGGACACAAAAGTGGCCTTTGCCGCCTGCGATCATTCTCATTTTGCAGCCACTTCCATAAGAGGCTTTTTATGTTAACATGTGACGATTTACCCTGGACGCTTGTGTCTTTAGTATGTCAATGTGTTGAGCATGGCTTGCTGCAGGATATGTCTTCGATCGGCCCCTGCTCAGACAGGTTTGATGATGTGTACATCAGTCCCAACTGGATCAGGCGGGGTTAGGGAATTGGGATATCGGTTCTTATGTTCCGTGTAGGTGTTCAGATGCGTAGTGCAGCTGCTGTGTGGCCGCTTGATGTCAAGCCTTGGAATCGTGTCTATCAGGCCGCCAGGCCAAGAACGGCCGACGTAGAAGCTCAAAACCAAGTTGAAACCGCAGCTTCGAACAAAACCAGCAGCATGAGAAGGGGCATGAAGGCGCGCTTGCAGGTTGGGGTGATAAACGGACCATCAAAACGGAACATGAACTCAGGCACAGCTCCAAGAGTCTTCAAGACCTAGACCACAGGGGTTTTGGTGAGTTGATGGCATTTCTGGACTCGGAGTGGCACAGTGACGGCGGGCCGGCCGCGCAGCCGCGGCCTCAAAGCTGGAAGCGCTGAGTTCTGCGAAAATGCCAGCTGTAGCGAGGCTCCGAGCCTCGCTGAAGGCTCGAAACTCGGCGCTCAGGCGCTGCATGGCGCCGCGCAGCCGCTCGCTTCTGCACCCGCAAGGCCCTACTCCAAGAACTTGGTGCCAAGCGGGAGGAAGCCCGTGCCAAGGATAATGAGGAGAGCTTGGCTTCAAAGGTGCGAGGAGAGTATATGCGGCAGCGTTGAAACCGAGCTGAACTTTGCAGGAGGCCGCCGAAGAGGTGGGATTCTTTGTGCGAGGTCGTAACTGCAAGCTACAGGGGAACAGTTCAGGCTGGCCGTCGGATGGCAGAAGAGCCGGACAGGCGTGCAATGTCTGACTGAAAGACTTTGAGACTGGTTGTCACTCCGCTCCGCCTCAAGGCTGACTGGTTTCTCCTCCTTCACAGCTGATCTGGCGGCGCTCTTTGCAATCCCTGAAAATCTGACTACAAGCTTCGTGACAGCTCTTCAGGTGCTGAAGGAGGATGCCAGCGGGTTTGAGCTTTGGATCGGGTCTCTCGAGGCCGATGGCAACTTTTTTTCGAAGTCTAGAGTAGCAGAGCCGAACACGCAGGACGCGCTGAATCTTCGTGCCTTGCGTGACCGTGGAATTGATGCGGTCCTAAATTGTGCTGTGCGCGATTGCGACTCGCCTCCGAGAAGTGCAAGATTCTGCCGCTATCAGCCGTTCATTGAGTCGAGGTGAGGCGGAGATCGCGTGCTTCAAACCGCACAGGTGGCCGGTGCCCAGCAGTGCCAAGTTCGCTGCATGCGTTTGCAGGTGTCAGCGCCGTGCGAGGGCCCATACCCGCAATGCATCGATGGGCATGGACCCACTGGGGCGGAGGGAGACATGGAGAGAGCAGCTGTGCCGTGGCGGCAGGAAGCGAAGCTTGGAGCCAGCTGGCTCGGCCTTCGAAGGGATCAGGCCTGGCCCGCCTGGCCCGCCTGGCCCTCTTTGCTCGCTCGCTGGTGCTGACCCGTTGCAAAATTGCACACTCTCAAATCTGCCCGCGCAGATTTGGAGCCTGGCCAGCTTTGATGCTGACTGGTATTCTGATGTCTTAGAGTCCAGATCTCGGGCAAGTTGGGGCAAGCCACCGTCATTCTGTTGTGTGTTCTTCGAAGGCTGGATGTTGTGTATGAGGGACTTCCAGCAAAAGATGAGGTCCCCATCTGTGAGAACCCTGAACTTTTGTTCACTGAGGGGATAGCAAGAGCAGGTCGGATATGACATGCGAGGGCACTGTCAGGAGGTGCTTCTTGCATGTTGTTGTTTTTAAGGAGCGCATGCTTCACTTTCTTGGCTTGTTCTCGCTGCCTCGCCGTGCTGTCGCTGCCGCGAGCTTTGTGCACGCTGTGCGATGCAAGAGTGACAGTGACAACCTAACGCAATCCCGTCGCAAGCCGATACATGCTTCGAAGAGGGTCAGGATGTGAGAGGAATGTCAGGGCAGGGTTTGGGACCGGCACATGGCATCCTCTGGCGGCCAAGAGGGAGCCCAGTGAAATTCTCCGGAGCCTCGGCCTCCTCGGCCTCCTCGGCCTCCTCGGCCTCCTCGGCCTCCGCCTCCGCGGCCTCCACGCCTCAGCCTGCGAAGCCTGCGGCCACACGAAGGCTGCTCGCACTTCTGGCTGTGCAGGCTCGCCACTCGCCGAAAGCTGAAAAAAAGCCACCAACCCGGCCCGGTTGTTTTCCTGTACTTGAGGTTCTTCGACCAGGTTCCTGCAAAGCCAGACAGCGACGATGTGCCTGTGTAGAATGTAGCGAGAGCAGGCATCCGGTTGACTTGATCGGCTTTCGTGCGTGCATGCGTGCACTGGCACAGGCTGAGCTGTGAAGAGTCGATCTCTGCAGAGACTCGACTTCATACTCAGTAAAGCAGCTTCAGGTTGTGATATGTGACAGTTTAGTTTCAACGAGCCAAGGTTTCCTCGAACGGACTGCGCTTCTTGTTCTTCACTGAACAAAACTTAAGCTGCCAAGAGCTACAAAGACGAGCAGAAGATCTGGTGGCAAAGTCGGTGGGCAGGCAGTGGACTTTGCATGCATTTGGCGTTTGCAGCATCTGTGAGTTGCGGCGAACAGGTTTCGTGCTTATGCCCTGACTTCGCGGATATTTGCTGGGAGAATTGGCGAGCCACCAGTTCCAGACTGCAGTTTTCTGGATGCATGCCTGTGTGTCTCGAATCTGCAGCGTCGCAGCACGATCTGTTGAGCTTCCGCTCTTCTCTTGGATGTCAACTGCTTCATGTCTGCTGACACTTGTAGCACGACAAAGGATGGGAGCCTGGTGAGTGGTTCGCTGCTGTTGTGGAAGATCCTCGAATCAGCAATTGCCTTTTCTGGGCCCTTGGAATATTGAATGAAACGACTTAAGGATCCCAAGTAATCGCGACCAGAGAAAACCAGGTCACGAGGTTGTGTCCTGTGACAGCTTGAGGAAGCCACAGGGCGCCCTGTGTCTTTCTACCACGGTGCTGCAGAGCAAGCTGAAAGAAGAACTTCCATCATCAAGTATTTGGAGGCAACACTGGTGGAGCCTGTGCAAGGCGCCACATCATGGGGTTTCAGTGACTTGCCTGTAATAAAAGATAGCCCCGTGCCAGAACAAACAAAATTCAGAACACACACACTTGCAGACCAGTCATCCTTACTTAGATGGATGCTGTTTGTGCTAGATCTTTACTTCTTCGTCTCATTGCTTGTCACTTCCATGTCCATCTAGATTTGGTTAATCCAGTGCCACAGGGGGCTCACTGGCTAATCCGAAAGCAGGTACACAATCTGGCGTCCCAGATCGCTTCACAGCGCTTCTACCACCGTCTTCGTTGGGCAGTGGATGGTAGAAGGCTCACTGCCCCCCTGCATTTCTCTGAAAACGAGAATCCGATTCACTACATCCTTGGGGACAGGAGTTTCACTCACACACACACACAATTACTTACTCACTTGTGGGATTTCGGCAAGAGCAAGAGGAAAGCAGAGAAGAGGGGAAGGTGGGTTGTTGCTTGCTGCTTCACACCTAATCTGGACACCACGGGGCTGTCCTGTTTCTTATCTTGCCACCTCAGAGGGCTGCCTTGCAGGTCACTCACCTGTATATCCCCACCCCCACTGCGACAATCCTCAGTGGGGGGATCCCAGTACTTGTGATCCTGGGTGTTGCTCCCCAGGCTTTCGGGGGAGCGATGCACTAGACGAAAGTTACTGCACCTGCATTCATGTCAGACGCACATGCATTTAACCCGAATAGACAAGGCAGTGGGACGGCTGTTGCTCTGCTGCTACCGGGTTGTCGCTCTGCTGGGAGGAAAAAGAAGATGCAATGCCGAAGTATCAGGCTCCCAGAGGAGCAATGCATTAGACGAAAGTTACTGCACTTGCACTTGCATTTCCTGAGAAAAGATGGTTCGCGTGACATCAGCCCGGAGAATCAACCCGATATCTGGCTCCTGGCCAGACAGCTACCCCGCAGGGCCACCACGGCGCCATGACGGAAAGCCGCTTTTTACGGGTCTCCGGGGCCCTATGGACCACACTTGTGGGATTGCGGCAAGAGCAAGAGGAAAGCAGAGAAGAAGTGTTTTGGCGGGGTTGTTGTTGAATGAAACATAATGATGTTGATGATGATGATGATCATGATCATGATCATGATGATGTTGATGACGAGAATGACAGATGATAATTGTTGTGCCAAGTATGTACGTTTTCTGCCCCTTGTTACGCCACACACAACAGAATGACGAGGGTCCCGCCAGCTGCCCCCGACGGGCCCAGGTGCAGACCAATGCAGGTATGTTTTCTTACGGCGCAGGGAAAGCTTCGTTGGACGGAGCTTCCCTGCACCCCCTCTGTCCCCCTGCAAGATGAAAAGCTTGTTTGCAAACTAGGAGTGACCCTCTTTCCCTTTGTGTATAATGGGAGTTCGCATGCACGCCCGCACGCACGCACGCTCGCTCGCTCGCTCGTTCACACCCGCACCCGCACCCACACCGGCACGCGCACGCGCACCCCGCACCTGCACGTGCACGGGCACCCGCACGTGCACGCGCACGTGCACGCACACGCACACGAACAGGCACACCCACATCCACCCACCCACCCAC